GAGAGAGACAGAGAGACAGAAAGCGAGAAATCACCCCCCAGGGGGGATGGTCACGCCGCAATCCCTTCTCCTCCATTCTCCGCTCGGGATCTTGGGTACGCACGCACACGCGCCCAGCGTGAGCTTTAAGCCACCGGGTCCGGGACACGAACCGCGGTCGACTACGTGGGAGTCCAGCGACATAGCCATTACGCTAACTGCTGGTTCCCTCATTGCCTGATTTTTAAAACATTGCCCTTGGGGACATCTTCTTATAAAAGCTTCTTCAGACTTGTCAGAATGGAACAGCTTATGCCATTGAAGGCTCCTAACCAAGGAGAACTGTAGACCTTTGCGTTTACTGCTATGCTAGAGGCTAGAGGAAGTCAGCGATTGGATAGAGGAAGTGGCAATTTCCCCCAAAGTAGGGTGGAGATAGATGGAGAGAAGGAGCAGGTGGATGAGAGGAATTTAGAAAGTAGAATTAACAGGATATGGGGAAGGAAGAGAGAAAAGAGACAGGGTTGACTTTGGAGTGACGGGCCTGCGGGATTAGGTGGGAAGTAGTCCCTCACTGCTCTGAGGGCTAGAGGAGGTTGGTTTTTAGGGTTTTTGTTTGTTTGTTTTGTTTTTAAGTTTTGCTACAGGATGTGAGTGCTCCCCAGGGAGAAAGAGAGAAATCACCCTTTAGGAGAATGGCCACAGGACAATCTCATCTCCTCCATTCTCCCATAGGGATTTCAGGCACATATGCACATGTGTCTGGCATGATTTTTGAACCACCTGGTCCGGGATTCGAACCACAAAGTTGGCCATGTGAGATTCAGTGTCTTAATCAACCATGCCACATACCAATTCTAAGGGTTTGCTTTTAGGCTTGGGGGGCTCAGAGAGTCTGGGCTAGCCATGAAGAGGAAGGTTGGGGCTCTGGTGCTTCAGAGAGGGAACTGGGTTTCAATTTGCCACTATAACACAGAAGGCCTGGGGCTGGTAAATGCTTTCCTAGCAGTGTGTGGAGCCCAGGACGATCTTGAGGATTCATTTATACTTAAGGGATTAAGGGATTAAGTGTAAGGGGATTGGAAGGATGTTGAAGAGTACAAGGGGAGCCTGAAAGACTACACGATCTGCTGCCTCCTTGGCTCGTCCATACTGCAGGGCTGGATCCCTTTCCAGCACCTGACTGCAGAGGTGGACTGAGGAACAGGTGGGGAGGAGGGATTTGGAACAGAAGCTGCTGTAGTCAGTCAAAGCAGAAGATGGAGCAAGAGTCCAGGCAAACGCAGGTGCCCAAGTGCCTTGAGTCGCTTCCTCCTGCTCTCCAGGGCCACTTGGGTCTGGACCACTGCTGGGAAAAGCCTGGGCCTTCTGACTGGAGGGTTGGCAAGCAGAATTCCTGGACAGAGTCAGCCGTGGGAAAGTGGGGAGGCCAGAGTGCCTGGGGCTGCTGTACCTAGTACTCCCAGACGTTCCCAGTGGTGAGTACTAGGTTGGCTGCAGGCTGGGTTAGGAGCTCCGCCCCTTGTCACCAGGAGGTATTGAGATCATCACTGATAGAAAATGTTGATAGAAAACGTTGACAGCATCGACAGCGTCCTGCTTGGGAGCTAGAGATCTGAGCTGGGAGGGCTGGGCTTTGAAATATGTGTTAAGCCACACACCTTCGTACACGTTTTGTCTAATCTTCGTGAAAACCCTATGGAGAAAATATAATTCTTCTGTCCTACAGAAGAGGAAACAGGCTCAGAGATCATAAGCCACATGCAAGGATGCACAGCTCCTGGTGAGTGGTAGCGGCGGGGCGATAAGCCTGGAGCTCGGGCTCTACAGCCTGGAGCTCGGGCTCTGTCCTGCTTTCTCCTGGGGTGGTCGCACTTCTGCAATGGTGTGGTGGTGAAGGTGCTGACTCCCATATGGCAGTTCAAGTCCTGGATGTGGCAGCTTGAGAAACACTCCGGGCATGTGTGTGTGTGTGTGTGTGTGTGTGTGTGTGTGTGCCCAACATCCCGAGAGGGGAATGGAGGAGAAGGGATTGCAGCGTGGCCATCAACCCCTGGGGGGTGCTTCCTCACTTTTTCCCTCTATCTCCCGTGAGCACACAAGCTCTGTAACAAACAAAACAATGACACAAACAAAAAACCTCCACAAGTCTGACTGCATCACTGTCCTCCTTAACTCCCACGGATGCTCTCCAGATGTTCTCAGGATAACGCTCAGTTCCCGAGGTCACCAGATTCTGTGGGCTCTTTCACTGACCTCAGCAGACTCACGCCCACTGTTCCACTGGCCTCCTGTGCACTCTGGCAACAGAACACCTTCCCATGCTCCTCTGAACAGGTCCTGAGCTGGGCCCTCCTACCTCTGGGCCTGTTCTCCAACCACCTACTCTGCCTGCCTGCTGCAATCTCTTATCCATCGCTGCTGGCTAAACTTCCAACCACCCTCGAGGCCTGGCTTCATGGAAGGCCCTTTTGCCTGAGGCTAGTGTGTCCTGGATTAAAGTTCCTCTTGTAGTTCTTGCTCTTCCTACTGGGTAATGTGGGCTTCTGTATTCCTCCCTCCGTGCCCAGAGTAGCACCTAGCATATGGTAAGGTTCTATTGGGTCGTTGGAAAAGTCATGATGCGTTTTTGCATAGAAAAACGTGAAAACAAACATCCTGACTTTTCCTATGACCCACTACAGTGCCTTGGCTTCCATTTCCCATCCCTTCCCTCCACACTGGTTTTGGCTCCAGCTTCCGACCTTTGTCCTGGCTTGAATCTGCTCCAGGGCAGTAGCAGCTCCAGGTAGGCTCTGATTCAGTTCCAACTCTGATTCCACGTCTGACCTGCCTTGCTCTAGCTCCAGCCTTCCACTTCGGGCCAGCTTGAGCTCAGTATCTTTTCTAATGTATGCTTAGCCTGTGGCACTGGGTCCAAACTCACAACCCAGCCAACATCTCCCACTCTCCTGATGCCCGACTCTACTTTCCAGGGCTGGAGTTTCCAGTCCCTGGAGCCCCTGAGTCAGAGAGAAAAGAGTAGGACAGACCCCCCCCCACACACGCAGTCTGGGGTCACCTCCCATGCCCTGGAGCCTCCTTGCTGCAGAATCCCAGCCCAGCCTCAGAGCGCTAGCCAGTGCTGTGGGAACAAGTGGTGCCAGGTTCAAAGCAAAACCCTACTATTACATGTACTGGGGTCAAGCACCTCTTTGGGCCCCATCTCTCTTGTCTATAAAGGGGGGTTAACAGTTAATCAAGAATGACAGGGAACAGGACCAGCCAGTGGCTGGTGATTAAGGCGCTGGATTCCCGCACGGTTGACTGTGGTTCAAATTCCAGACCCAGTGGCTTGAAAAATCACGACAAACATATAGATAAATAAGTA